AAGTGGTGTTGCCCCAGCTCTGACGAGGTGCCTCTGGCCGTGTTCGGTCTTATTTGCCTTTGAGGAAGCACTGTTGGATTTATTTGTTCACTGATTACACTGTCCACAGCAGCATTCTTGTTAACAGCCTAATTTCCCATTCCCAGGGCTGCATTCCCATGTGGCGTGCTGTGATTTGTAAGCTGTCCCACAGCTCACAGTCATCTGTGTCTGTCTCTCTCCAGTTACGACCGCCTCCTGTGCCTGGATGGAGGGGGCATCCGCGGCCTGGTGCTCATCCAACTCCTCCTGGCTATAGAAAAGGCTGCAGGCCGTCCCATTCGTGAGATTTTTGACTGGATCGCAGGGACCAGCACTGGGGGAATCTTGGCCTTGGCTATTGTACACGGTGAGGACAGTGCAAAAAAAGGGCCCCTTCTCTCTCCTGTGGGCTCGAGTGGGGAGTGGATGCAGGGTGGGAGCTGCCTTTCTGAGTCCTGATTGAGATTTGTTGTCCCTGCCGAAGGAGGGAAGGGATGTTCGTTGGTGAAGGAAAGCCTAGACCTGGCTTTGTGCTCGATTCTCACGTCAGTTGGCCTTGAGCAGCTTTCTGGGTTTTGGGAAGGGTGTGGTGGCAGAGTGCAATGTTCCGTTCTTCCTGCTGTCTCCAAGGGGGTTTCACAACAAGGTGATCGGCACTTTCTGGTAGTGGGAAACTATGCTCTGAGCTTGCTCTTCCTCTTTAATCCTTCCCAGTCATGCTGCTGAGATCTGAGCAGATGACAGGCAGCCTGGGAAGGGGATAGGATTGGGACTGATGCCTCCCACCTCCCGCTGGTCCTGGAAAGTCCCAGCTCTGATGTGCTGTTTGTTCTGCCTGCCCTTCCTCCCACCCCCTGCTTCTGCCGACGCTGTTGCCCATCTCAGGGAAGTCCATGGACTACATGCGCTGCCTGTACTTCCGCATGAAGGACATGGTGTTCCGGGGGTCTCGGCCCTACGAGTCGGAGCCCCTGGACGAGTTCTTGAAGAAGGAATTTGGGGAAAACACCAAAATGACAGATGTCCAAAAACCCAAGTAAGTCCTGCCTGGGGCTGTGCTGGTTGATGCTCTCCTGAGTGTGCTCTAGTCCCCTCTCAGCAGAGATGCTCAGCCTCTCCTTATAGCAGATCTGGAGGAGTGTGATGTACAGACTTTTGAAGCCATAAGTACATTTTTTTTTCCATTTTATTCTTATTCTCTCATGTCTTCTCCCCCAGGGTTATGGTGACAGGGACGTTGTGTGACCGGCAGCCAGCTGAACTCCACCTTTTCCGGAATTACCCTGTACCAGAGACCAAAACTTCCACCGAATACAAGACAAGTGCATCTTTCAAACCACTCACTCGGCCAGAAGGTAAATGCTGGCACACAGCTTTCCAGCTGGTTGGCAGGGGAGGGGGCCGTTCCTCAGGGATAGAAGATTTCCTGTTCTTCCTCCCATTGCTCTGAAAATTGGAGTGTCCCAGCAATGGCTCATCCCTGACCTTGACTTGTAGCTTGGTCCTAGTGGTGGTTCCCTTTTCTCCTCTCTCCTCCTTCCTTGGCTTTTCTTGTATGAGGAACAGGGGCTGGCTAGCAAGGTTCATGAGGAAGGGGTCTGCTAGAGGAGTCCTGTGTACAGTCGGTGCCTTTCCCTGTGTACAGTCAGTGCCTTTCCCTGGGCTCTCAGGAGGAGATTAACATGGAAAAGCTGTGTAACTGAAGGATGCAGCCCCCTCCAGCTTGCTTCTTTCTTTGTCTAGCAAACATAACTGGTTCACCATCAAAATGGCAGCAATGAAGCTGGTAGAGAGTGAATTTGACCCAGGATATGTAGAAAGCAGTGAGAACATCTTCTAAAGCCCCTCAAGAATAATCCTGTGCATCCAAGCAGAGGCCCTACTGTTGGGATAAAGAGGCATAACTACCTAGGGCAGGGTCTTCTGGGATCGCAGGGCCTCCTGCTTTGTGCTGGTGAAGGTAGAGCGCTTCTTGCACACAGGAAATTTGCTGCAAGAGGCCATATGCTTTCTCTCCCTCCAGACCAACTTGTATGGCGTGCTGCCCGCTGCAGCGGTGCGGCTCCCACTTATTTCCGGCCGATAGGCCGCTTTCTGGATGGCGGGCTGCTAGCCAACAACCCGACCCTCGATGCCATGACGGAGATCCATGAGTACAACAAGACGCTGATCAAGAAGGTGAGGGAAATCCTGGCCCTGACTGGTAACTGGGGCTTTATTGGCTCCACTGAGCCTCCCTTGAAGGGGAAGAGGGTTTGGGAATGGATGCCTCTAGTAGATAAACAAGTCAGCAGCGCAACACTCTAGAAGGGAGTGTATGGAGGGGGATATGTATTGGGAATGGTGGCTGAGAGGTGAAAATACCTCTTCTGACAAGGGCGTGAGATGAGGAGGCAATCCCATCAGCCTGTCTTTGCTACTTTGAGCAAGGATGATTCAGTTGATGGTTGTGTGGGGCCTTTGATGTAGCTCTGCAGAGTCTTTTTCTGCCCATAAATAAATGAGAAGACAATGGTAGGGCACTCTGCAAGGCAAGAGTGAATGCCTTCTGTGGTGTGGCAAGTTCCTCAGAAAGATGACTAACTACTGGCAGCTACTGCTCCCTGTAGCTGAAAGGGGAGGTGTCTTGCCAAAATGACTGAAGGAGTTGGACTGTTTCACAGTCATCTGGTCCTAGGACTCATCTTTGGAGTGATCCAATGGGTTTGGGTGCAGCCAGGGGTGTAAGTGACACAACAGTGCAATGGTTGAAGTCATGTGGATTATACCAGGCAATGCTAAAAGGGGAGAATGGGGGAGAGAAAAGGCTACTGAGCCTTTTGCCTTGGCTTTCAGATATTCCCCAAGACTCCACCTTAATTGTTGGTCCTTGCAAAGAAATCTTTTGTTTGTCCACAGGGTCAGAGGCAGAAAGTAAGAAAATTGGGATTGGTGGTCTCCCTGGGGACAGGGAAGCCTCCGCAGGTCCCAGTGAGCTCTGTGGATGTTTTCCGCCCCTCTAACCCTTGGGAGCTGGCGAAGACCGTCTTTGGGGCCAGGGAGCTTGGCAAGATGGTGGTGGATTGTGTGAGTACTGGGAGGAGGGGATGGGGGAAGAGGTCTGGGGCTGCTTGCAGGGAGGGAGCAAAGGTTTCCAGTCTTCAGCTTCTTCCTTTTGGAAGAAAATTGTATTTCCTTGGACCTGCTCCAACCATGGCTAGTTCAAGGAATGGATGTAGTGGGTAACCTAAAAACTGCAGGAGCACAGCAGATCTGAAGCCCTGTCTGCCTGTTGGGGGTTTCAAGTGCCAAGGGAGGTGCAGTTCCTGCAGCTGGAAGGAGCTAAGGTATGGGATTGCTGAGGGCAGGATGGTGGTCAGTGACCCCTAGAAACGTTTGCAGGTGTGAGTTCGTGAAACTTGGTATCTTTCCAGGGAGCGCTGATTATCATCTAAGCAACCTGGACCAAAAAAATCACGCCTCAGAAAACAGCAATTCATTTTTCTTTAGAAAAGCTTTGTTATCCCCGCTGGGGAAATTAGCAAATGCTAGAGAAGTGGGAGTATCATTAATAAAAAGCAGTAGTTCAGAGCTGTGGTTAGGAGGGTGTAATAGGCATACGTTCTTGGATGCTTCAGAAAGAAGCTCATTAAATATTGTACATGAAAACACTCCAATGAATGAAAGCCAGAAAGATCAGAACTGAGGTTTTGACTATAATCTTAATTCTGTCGCTTTATCTCCTCTTAGCTTCCTAAAGCCAGAAAATACCCGGAGAGGTCCCTCTGCTTCCCCTGTGTTTTATTTCAGGGCTCCCAGGGAAGCTGTCCCAGGATAGCCCAGAAAGCCTGCAGTAATCACAGGCTCCACTGGTACTGGGCTTGGACAGGAATGGATAGAGATGAAATTCCAAGGAGGCTGTGATTCAGATCATCCTGGGGGTTTCTTTAAGGGAATCCACTCGGTGCTGTGATGGATGGAGGAGTCTGTAGGGTGCAATTCCTTGTGTCCCAAGGATCCAGGAGCACTGTTCTTATGTTTTAAAAAAAAAAAACAAAACCCAAACCCCAACAAAAAGCCGCCCTACTCTTGGTGGTGAACGTTGCCATCCAGGATGCTCTTGCTCCTGGTTTTCCCTCTCCTTCTGCGGCTTGTGCAAGTTCGCCTTGGTGCCAAGGGAGCCTCTTGCAGGCGGGGGGAGAGCAGTGTGACAGTCAGGCTCTAACTGCGGGCCTGTTTCTCCTGCAGTGCACTGACGCAGATGGCCCAGCTGTGGATCGTGCCAGGGCCTGGTGCGAGATGACGGATGTCCCATATTTCCGGTAGGAGCTTCCTTTCTGCTCTCTGCACAGACCTATTTTTAGCTCTCTCCCTTCAGACCTGGCTGTGGCGTGCGTCATCCCAAATCGTGTCCCCTCCAGTGGCATGCCTGCCCAGACCTGTCCCCCTGCCCCCTTTCCTCATGCCTCGGTGACATAACTGGAGAATGCCCCCGCCCACTCCATGAGCTGATGCACCAAACACACCTTGTCTGGGGTCAGCTAGTGGGGGCTTGGGGGATGCTGTCTAAGAGGGTCCTTAGGGGATGAGTGCCCTGCCCCTATTCTACCCCACACAGCGTGTTTTGAGGCTCCTGCCTTAGGTGGTGCAGTTGCTGAACTGAGTCTCGGCCCTGAGTGTGGTTGCACCTTGAAGGAGGGGGGAGGCCCGCGGCTCTGCAAGCCCGCTGGATAAGGGGGAATGAATGCCCAGGACGGCGGGAGCCACTCTGCACAAGTCTTGTGCTTGGCACGCTTGCTGCCTTGTCGCGCTCGTGTTTGCGCCCAGCCGGTGATGCTGTCTTGCCGTATGCAGGCTCAGCCCTCAGCTGCACACGGAGGTGATGTTGGACGAGGTGAACGACACCGTGCTGGTGAACGCTCTGTGGGACACCCAGCTTTATATCTACCAGCATCGGGAGCAGTTTGAGCAGCTGGTGCAGCGTCTCTGCCAATGACTGACCTGGAGGTTCCTGTTCAGCATTCCCACGGCAAGGAGCAGCTGACACTGAAATGGCTCGGATTTGCCCTTGAACCAAGATGTTGAGGTGGGGGAGGGACGACTACTACTAATAATGAGGAATTAATGATATTTAATAGACAGCAGTGCACATACACATGTATTCCAGGACACACCCATGTATTCCCTGACAGCTGTGAAATGCTGACAGTTAGCTTTATACTGTAGCCCCAGCTATGCTGCTGTGCTCGGTGTCGCTGGCCTGCTCTCTGACCGTACAGCCCTTCCCAGAAGCCAGAGCCCCCACCTACCTGTCTTGAGCTGTAGCAGCTGGAGTTCATCTCCTGTCTGTGCAGCACCTCCACTGACAAAGCACTGCGCACCTTCCCACATCTCGGAATGAGCCAAGGCCAGATAAAGCTTCAGGGATTACTTGGCCCACTGGGGCCAAGGTGTGTTTCAGAGTGTATAGTGTGGGGAAAAGGGATTATTCTTCCCTCAACACACCCGGTTTGAAAGGGAGCAGAAATGCTGCAACTTGCCACAGTAGATGCAATGCAGAATGTTGCGACTGGCCTTGGCAGAAGTGAGAACCTTTCCTGAGCCAATTGTCTTCTGTAGCACCTTCCCCTTTCCCCTCCAAGATGGGCTGGCAACACAGGTACTGACGCGCCCAGGGCAGGAGCAGGCCCCCCCCGGAGACTGTTTTGTGCCGCCTGACTTGCTGTGCTGCTCTTTGCTCAAGGGCTGAGACGTGAAAGCCTGTCTTAACTTGCAGCAAGCTGCAGGTGAGGAACAATAGGCTTAGCGTGGTAGAGAGATTGTTTCTTTATTCTTAACGTGGAATTGAAATGCTCTAAGATCAGTTCCCGCCAAAGAAACTGACCTTGTGACAATTTGGATTTACTGCTGGAAACTCTGTTGCTACATCCTCAAATGTTTCTGCAGTAAATTTTTGTATTTATAAATAATTTATGTATCTATTTGGAGGTGTTTTGAGGAGTAACCTGGAAAACTGAATTCTTAATAATTTGATTTTGACTGGATGGGCTGCTGTTATGAACGGTGCTTCTGTGCAAAACTAACATGACCTGAAATAAAGAGAGGTTTGCATTTGGTTCCACTGTCATGCAGTCCACAGTTGTCTTGTCTCTCTCTCTGTCCTACAGAGTCCCCAGAGGGGTTCTGAGCTTGCAGCCTGAGTTTCTTAGAGGTAGAAAATCGGGAGCTGGGCTCCTTGAGGCACAAGGTTATACCCTTCGTATGGGTTGAAGAGGTGAATGGCCTGTGCCTGCAGCCAGCCCTGGGAGCGTGTGTGTTGGTGTGAGTGGCTGGCGTACCCACAGAGCACAACGCTGCATTGCTGGGCTTGCCAGCTGCAGCCAGCGGAGAGGCTTTGGACCAGGTCCCATGTGAGAATCCTCTTGGTCTGGCCTAAAATGAGGAACACTGAAAACTCTTGGGATACAAATGACAGGAGATGGGGCTTTAACCTTGGTGTCTGCAGGTGGTTCCTGGACAAGGTAACTGCTGCAAGCTTGCTGGACCTGGTGCCCACTGATTCCTAAGGGACACCGCTGGCAGGAGTATGGGTGCTGAGTCATAAATAGGGCTAAAAACTGATGATCTGCCTTCTGATCTTCGCTTTCATAAAAAAGACTGTGGAATTAAGGGGATTTAAATGTGGAGTAAAGGTTTTCTTTTTCCTATATCAAAGAGGGGCTTCCTGTGAGGGGGAGAAAAAACCCAACACATCTTGGGATGGAGAGAACATGAGCGCCTTTCTGCTTTTTGGCCCTGGCTTGCACTCTCCCCCTCTATAAGCCTGCACCATCTGCAGGGACTTCCCGGGAGTGCTTGGGCTCCCTGCATGCAGGCAGGGAGAGCGGGAGGATTCAGGCACAATTGGGGTGTCATTGAGATGGGGAGTGGGAGGGATGCTGAGAGCCAGAGGGCTAGGGGTGGGGGAATAGTGGGCAGGGAAGAGGTGAAACTTGTTCTGAGCTTTCCTTATGTTTCCCCCAGCCCCTGCTACTTGCTGCCTGCGATCGCGAGCGAGGGACCCGACGATGCTCTGCTAGCGCAGCGAGGCCGAGGGAGCCGCCTCTGAGCGGGGGCAGTGATGAG